TCTCGCTTTCTGTTCCTCCTCTTGCCTCTTCAATTTCCAAACATTCCCGCGCATTTGATTAATTTTTTGGTACACACTTTTTTTAGTACTTTATATATATCATCATTCATATACCTCCATTCCAAAAATATTTTTTGCTTGGTTCGTTTCTAAATGAAATTTTCAATGGAATCATAAGGGGCCTTTCACAAAAGATCCTTAAAATATTTGTGTTCAAAACCAGCTTTTATATTGAGTTCGTGCAAAGTGTACATCCTCCTCTTTTCCCTCATCCCTCAAATCGCTCGCCATACAAACGACTGACGAATACATCTTTTATCCTCCGACACGACTGGAATTGCCGTCTTGTTGAGGTTTCTCAGAAACGATGGCAGAATAAGGAGCTGAAAGCGTCACCAACCCTACCCTCGTCAACGATCCACCGGGAACCGGTTCCCACACTGCCTGTCACACCCAGACGAGTTTTTTGAAAGTGGACATGAAAAAAGATCTTTCGTTCCGGCAACAGGATGAAATTCCATGACAGTTTTCGTCAGGATCAAATTCCATGACAATTTTCTTCAGCAAATTCTTTCTTTATCCACAATTCACCCCAATCCCTTGCTTTGCAATACTTTTAAAAAAAAAAAAAAAAACCCAAAAAAATTGCCCAGACAGCTCCCTCACACTATACAAAGTTACTTATTCTTTGTTTCAAAAATAATTAAGTGACAAAATCCTTTTTGGATTTACTTTCTATGAAAGGCAAAGGCCCTTGGAAAATATCCCGCATGGTAGCAAATGCCAACAGCAATCACACGCTAGCAAGAATATCGATGGTTTCGCCTTTCGAGGACTGCTTAGAAGCAAACTAAACGAGGAAACTGAAGAAAATTTAATAGGAATTAGTAATCAACACCATATAGGCGGATCCAGGACGGACTGCTGGGGAAAATGATGGAGACTGGGGGGAATGGGGAGGCGGACAGCCCCTCCAACCCTGGAACTATGCAAAAACTAGGAATGGTGTTATAATATTGCTACTTAGAGTTAATTTAGTTTAAAATTACTTTAGACTTTAGTTTACTTTAGTTTTAGCTTTAAACCCCGGCTTTTGTTGCAGTGGTGCCTGCGCCGCCAGAAGCGGAGAGGTAGGGGAGGGAAGGGGAAGGCGAAAGACTTTCAGCGGTTCTCCCACAGCACTTTGACAAGGATTTAGTTATCTTGCGACTCAGCGGTATACCTCGAGCATCACCACCTCGTCCAGAAGCATTCAGAAGACTACGTTGAAGTATTGGAGGTTGCCGTTTTGGAGGTTAAAACCAATATTTTGGCAAAATTGCGAGGTAATCAGATAGAGGAAGCTTAAATCCCTTGAAATCCTGTTTGCTGGGAGTTAAATCCTCTAATCATATAGAAGTGATTACTTCACAGTTTTGTCAAAATATTGTTTTGGATGATAAAGATTATCATAAAATCCCCTAATCAGATCCTTTAGTAAGCTATGGAATAATTTGTCGCCTGTTTTATGTCTGGGATGACTCCTATGTCCGGACCCATTTATTCTTGGCTATTTCCCTAAAGTTAAGTATCATCCACTTCCACGGAGGCTTACTAGTGCTCAAGAGTCATTCGAGTGGTCATTCTATATTAGAAGCAAGAAATCTATCCCACTTAGCAAAAAATTTCGCTTTTTTCTCCGCTATTCTGCACAAAAATCACATGAAAAGCACTCGCAGTACCATCGATTTTCGCATTTTAATGATACTCAATTTTCCATACTGAGAACCAGTGCGGTATCAACATCGTTGTCACTGAATCTTATAACACCATCCACCCCATTCGTAAAAGAATAAGTGAAAGCAATAACGTGGGGAAGCAGTCTTTAAAAAAATCTTTTGAAGAACTTCATTGTATGGGTTAACTTGACTTTTTATGATTTACTCAAGAAGCACATCATAGATTTGAGTACCACAGAATGAATATAATTAAGAAAAATGAACAAACAAGCTTGTGTGGTAGAAAGTGTTAAAAGCAATCACCAGCTTGCAAGGCTGTTGATAGTTTTCCTTTTCGAGGGTTGATGGTGGTTTTGACTCCGTGATTAACGGTAAAATAGACTCTAAAACACCAAAATAAAGCAAAAGTTGAGACTGACGTCAAAGTGCTTCACAGGCGAATTTAGGACGATTCCTGGGAAGAAAGGGGGCGATGAGGGTGGGGGAGAGCGATAAAACAGAGTCTAAATTCCAAAAAAAAAAAGCAAAAGTGGAGAGTGACGTCAGACTGCTTCACAGGCGAGTCTAGGACGATTCCTGGGGAGAAAGGAGGCGATGAGGATGGAGGGGAGGCGAGAGGGAACGAATCTTCGCCGCCCCCTCCCACTCTAGAACTATGCTAAAATTAGGGATAGAGTTGCAACACTGCTACTTAAAGTTATTTAGTTTTGTTTATGAACCAACCCGGGCCATTTACAGCACTGGTGCCTATGTCCAAAAATCCTTCCCCTTCACCCCTCTCCCCCCGCCCTCTCCGCGGATTCGCCTATGAAGTGCTTGGTTGATAAAGAAAGAGGACATTTCCTGAACATTTTTGCTTCCAGAGCGAAGTTGAATATTGCAAATCGAGATCGCGCGACATGTGGAAAGAGATGGTGGAAATGGTCCCAGAAGGAGAGGAACCACTTGATGTTCTCGTTCGTGCTACCCGTCAAGCAGAGGCGCAGTGCTGCACCTGCCAGCAAGGGCCACCCGGACCAGATGGACCACCAGGTGCACCGGGCAAGGATGGAGCTCCAGGAGAGGGACCAGGAGCCCCAGGACCACCAGGGCCCGATGCTGACATCCACGACCGGCTGCTGCCAGTTCCACCGCAATGTCCATGTCAAGCTGCACCGGGACCTGTTGGACCACCAGGGCCACCTGGACCAGATGGACAACCCGGCAATGCCGGACCAAGTTCGTTTAACTTTTTCTACATTGTTCTGATGAAAAACGCAAGCTAAAGCATCAAATCTGAAGTTTTACTGGAAAATATGCATAATAATTTTCAGTGTTTTGATCAGTGGACACAGAAAATAACAAAAAACAATAATTTCAGATGGTGACGATGGAGCACCAGGAGCTCAAGGTCCACCAGGACCACCGGGTAGCCCGGGCCAGAACGGACAGCCTGGCCAACGTGGACCACCGGGAGAACCCGGACAGCTCATTCCCGGAGAGCGACCACCACCAGGACCACCTGGACAGCCCGGACGACCGGGTGCCCCGGGACAACCCGGCCGACCTGGACCACCAGGAAAAGATGGCGAAAACGGTGGACCTGGCGGCCCCGGAGAACCAGGACAACGCGGTACGTTCATTTCTAAATAAACCTATATCCCGCACTTTTTCAACAAAAACCTTGATGAAAAAAGAGCAAAAAGTAAATAATACCAATTAATTTTTTCAGGTCCACCTGGCCCGAACGGACAACAAGGACCACCAGGAGAAGCTGGTCAACCGGGTGCACCGGGAAGCTGCGATCACTGCCCACCGGCACGTCTTGCTCCGGGTTATTAGATGTAATGCAGGAAGCTGCTGTTGCTGTTGTTCTTTTGACGACAACCCTTTTCCCACTGAAATTCTCTTTCCTCCAGAATTAATAATAAATCTGTCTAGACTGCAAATGCTCCTCATTCACCACACTAAAATCAGCCTCAGCTGCAATAATATCAAAAAGTAAACGACCACTCGGACGGAGGCCCTTGTCAAAGCTAGGCCTGGCATGTGGGGACATTCCAGGTAACATGGGATATTTATAAGCTCGGCGGTTCTGGGATTTACGGTTTTTACAGTTCTTAAACAGGAGAAAACAAAATCGTGAACCAGATTTCATCAAATCTAAATGGCATTTCCAGTGTTTTCATTAACTGCCAAAATTCGACTGTGTTCCTCTCTACGGTGGTGCGCCAGCAACGCCAAACAAACTGCATACGTTAACGCATAGACGATTTCTGGCCCCGGTCCTCTTCCAGGCCCTTAGCCAGGGATATTCACTGTTTATATCTCTAACATTTCTACAACACGTAGGAGACGTCTTTTGCAACAACATCAAAAAATTGCCCGTAAAAAACAAAAAATAGCTTTCAGCTCTATTTCCGCCCATTCTGATTTTTCTCCCAAACGAAAGCTGGAATGTGGATATGAAGCTGAGATATGAAGAAATATGAAAATTTTATCTTTCGCATAAGAATAGAGTTCCCCCACAGACAAACATGTTTGCTTAGAAAAAAATGCTCCCAAACAGTCATAGAATGACCCGTGGTGAATGGTCAGCAGGCCACAACAAATTCCAGAATATCCTCTGGTGATAACAGATAGGAAAAACAAACCGGATAATACTTATGTGATTTTAATTGCATGCCTGGCACACCCACACTAAAAATGAGTGTCAAGTAATGCATTTCAAGTCCAAATTTTTAAAAATTACAAACTACTACTTCCGTCCCTTACCCCTGTTTCAAGGCCATAAATCCCTGAGGTGCTGTGTAGAAAGAAGGGAGGTACCAGTTCCACTTTTGTAACCGCAGCACTCCCAAACATAAAGGAGTGCTTTCAGACTCAAAAAAGAAGCTAAATTCTGCCAGGAAGCATCAGAAAAAGCTGGAATATGTTCAAAAACCATGAACTGAGTCGAGACAGATCAAATCCAAACAAAAAAAAAAGATTAGTGCAAGAAACCATATGATTACATTGCAAGCATAAGCAGATTGCAGCAACCAGGTTGACCCTAAACGCCTAAATGGTGAAAGCGCGACAGATTATAATATTAGAGAAGGAGATAAGAGTGAGATAAGACGTTTCGGTCCAATTAAGTCATACATATCTCCTCATTTTCTGCCAAATTCCAGACGAAAAATTCGTTGATTACAATCGCAGAATGATATATTTATGATGTCGTTTCACTTTCGATATAATAACTCGGCCATCGTAGGATACCGATGCGAATACCCATGGATCGTTACCAGCCCATGCACAACTGTACACCGAATCCTCATGCTCTTCCATCTTTTCCAGCCGTTCATCACCCAGTTTACTGCAAAAATTCACTGTTTTTAACCTGACAATCGATAAACAAAAAAGCGGATGTGAAGAAAAAGAGCAAAGCATTATTTGAAAAGTAAGAAAAAACGAAAATAAAAAAATTCAAGATTTTTTTCAAAGCAAAAAAATTACTTTTCCTGAGGTGGCGAATCATTTTCATCGGGTAACAATGCAAGGGAGTGTATCGATTCGGAGCTCAACGATTCCACGCTGTTCAAAAAAAGCCTAGCATCGCTACCGGCTGATAAGATTAGTTGGTCATGAATTGGATTGAATTTCACGCACCACACCCTGCAACAACAAAGAAACTAAACATTTTCCTCCCAGGTTCAGTGACTGCTAAGACTTTCAGCTTCATGATACAAAAAAATTTGCGACTTCAACATGAAAATTATGCTGCTATTATTGAAAATCACAGTGTGATTTAAAGTTCAAGAATTACCATCAGTTTTGAGGAAAGCGGGCAGGCGGGTGGGAGGAGGGGAGGGGAGAGAGGGGATAGGGCGAGGGGCAATGAACTTAACGATCACTAAGAAAGAAACAAAAAATCAACTGGTGTTTTGATTACACTGTAAAGCGAAAAAATAGATTTTAAGGGCCAGATCTGACGGAAATCAAACAAATTTGGAAGAAAAAAAAGTCAAATCCCGTTCCATATTTTATCCATCATAAGAGGGAGGGGAGGAGGGGAGGGGTGGGAGGAAGAGGGTGGCTGAAGATGGCTCTAGCGACAGCATTTTGCTGAAAAAGCAACCACTCGCTGGCACGATTTTCGATGATTCACTCTCTTTCGAGATTCACTTTGAAATAAAACGATTATGAATCATTGGAATGTATCCACGTTATTTTACCATTAAAAGAATTCCCAATAAAAAAACAAAAATACGAAAGTGCCATTCGCAAACTCATCGCGAAAA